ACTCCACCCTGCTTTAAGATGTCGCTCTCGCTCCAGCTCTCTTTGTCTCACCTTGGTGAGCGCTCCCATCCATCTGTCTGAGCACTGCGAAATTGCAAAGTGCTAAATTTTCATTTAAAGAACTTCTTTATATGTAGCATTTTCTTCTATTGCCTTTTATTTTTGGTCAAAGTGTGAAAGCATTGTGACATAGCCTAAAATAGGAAGCCTCACCTTACTCTCTTGGTTCCCTTTAATGCCATGTGCACTGATTTTATGTGAAGGACACACTCATTTGCAGTGAAAATGCAAAGTATTTAACATTTATGCTAGCTCCCGGGTGTCTTGTCTCAGTGCTGCTCTTCTGCTCGAGCCAACGTTAACCGACTCACTGGCTCCCACACCATCACAAACTTGATGTATCATAGGAAAAAAAGTTTTTTTTTTCCATAAATATAAATAATTTTTGGTAGTGAGAACTTTTTTTTCAAGGAGGCTAGCAGATGTTAGCTAGCAAACAGCTGGCAGCCACGTCTGCTAGCTAGAATTTTTCTGACAGGTAAGCAGGTAACACTCAGTAACATTTACTGCTAGAACGTAAATGCACTTTTTACAGTACTAATCATGAGAGGGGTTGTGAGCCAGCTTGCTGTAAGCCATGCAACCATTTTCCTCTTCTTTCATCTGGTTCCCTTAGGGTTCACTACAGTAGATCATTTGCTTCAGTCTGAACCTATCTCTTGCCTCCTCCTCATTTACACCAAACCCTCCTTCACTACACCCATGAATCCATTTTGTGGTCTCTTTCCATCCTGCCTGGCAGATCTATATTCAAAATTTTTTTTTGTCCTGTATATCCACTATTCCCAAACTGCTCACCCTGAGCTGTCCCTCTGGTATACTAATTTATAATCCTGTCCCTCTGGATCACTCCCACTGAAAATATTAACATATTTAATTCTGCCACCTCCAGCTCGATCTCCTGTCTTCAAATAACATATAATTGCAGGTCTCTCTACCATCTTGTAAACCTTCCTTTTCACTCCTGCTGCTATGCTTGTTACAATCACCCCTGACACTCATCCTGACCCACTGCCTGCACCCTTTTCTTACCTGTCTTGTGCACTGTCCATTGCTTCAAATGATTTACCCAGGGTATTTAAATTTGTCCACCTTCACTGCCTCTGCTCTTTGCATCTTCACTGTTACCCATATTTCCTTCTTAATGTCATGTATTCTACAAGCCATGCAACTACAGACAGTGTAAAAATCGACATAGCTATAATGATGTCACCCACAGGTTTCTGAAGTCCCATTTTGAAGCCTGATGAGTGTTTCTGCTGTCACAATCTTGGTTTCAAAAAACAGATGTGACAAGGAAGGGCTGGTCTGACTTTGGTATTAGCTAAAAACTTGAGTTCAATTCAATTTTATTTATATAGCGCCAAAACACAACAACAGTCGCCTCAAGGCGCTTTATATTGTAAGATAGACCCTACAATAATACATACAGAGAAAAAACCCAACAATCATATGACCCTCTATGAGCAAGCACTTTGGTGACAGTGGGAAGGAAAAACTCCCTTTTAACAGGAAGAAACCTCCGGCAGAACCAGGCTCAGGGAGGGACGGCCATCTGCTGCGTCCGGTTGTGGTGAGAGAAGGAAGACGGGATAAAAGACATGCTGTGGAAGACAGACAGAGATTACAAGTATGATTCAGTGCAGAGAGGTCTATTAACACATGTTGAGTGAAAAAGGTGACTGAAAAGGAAATCCAGCCCCAACTATATGTTTTAGGAAAAAACAAAAACAAAACAACTTGTAATTGGCTGTGTGCAGTAAAACCATTTTGAAATGTGATATAACCATTTTTTGGTCAACATTGCCCAAATTTAGAGACTGAGCCCATAAATTTAGTAGGGATGTTTTTACAGAGGTTCAGATAGAAAGCCATTTTCCCATAGACGTTCAACGTTCAAGG